CCTTCAATCAATTTATTATTATTAAATTATTCATCATTTATTTTAGATATACATGTATGATTCAAAATTTATAACAATTATAAAGGTGTATATATAATTTTCGAATTTTTTTTTGTGATCAAAAAATTTTCTAAGCTTTTTCTAACTTCCTAAGCTTTTAACAAAAAAAAAAAAACTTCACTTCTAAATTTAAATGCCTTTATTAACCTATAATTTTGTAATTTTACAATTTCTAGTTTTCCATTTTAAATTAACAGGTAGTGTGTTAATTAATTAGCTAGAGTTAACAACGTATGATGTTGTGTTGAAGTACAAGTATATGGTTAAATAATGTAAAGTCGAAATATTTTTGAAGTGGATTTGTTATGCATGAAATTATTCCTAAAAAATGTATAAGTAATATATTTTTGTAAATTTGTTTAGGGAATAGCATATGGTGCTGATTTTGCCGCAATTGGAGTTATAACAGTACGTTGGGCATCACTAAAGCAAAATGGGGTATTTATTGCAGTGTTGACAAGTTTTAATAGTCTTTCAACACTTATCACGAATCCTATTTCCGGTTTGGTTCGTTTTGTTTTTTTCCGAATTTGTCTTTTTTTTTTCTGTTAATTGAGTAAATATAATCGGGGAAGAGAATTTTCATGGTTCAAAATTTTCGCTAAAAATTTGTACAATCATTAAGCTTTGTGAATCATCATTTGGTTGGCCAGCTGTATATTATGTACATGCAGCATTTGGCATTTTCATATTCACCATTTGGGTGGTATTCTATCGAGATCAACCAGAAATGCACAAAAATGTTTCAGGTTTAATTCTTTCAACTTATTTTTACCAATATATTGTCCTTCCATCATTAAAGTTTATTCCTATACTTACTTCATGCATAAATTTATACATTTAAAAAAAAAAAATTTTTCTTGATACTTCAAAAAATTATTTTCTTCAGGCATTGAGTTAGAAAAGATTCGTCGAGAGAAATCTGAAGGATACATCAGCAGTGAAAAATATGTCCCATATTTGGTAACAAATTTCTTGCACATAAGGATCATTAGGATTTTATAATCGATTATAGCCAGATAGATCAGGCAAAGTGGGAAGACAATCGCTTAAATAATTTATCATACAGCATTGAAGATCACAATTGGGGAACGATAATTAAGTGGAAAAGCCATGAAGATTTGAACTGATTTCAGGCTATAATAAAAAATCCTGCAATATTAATTGTTTGGCTTAATGCATTCGTCGAAATTGTTTCTGCTTTATTTCTTCTTTCCTATGGGCCTACTTATATCAAATATGTCTTGAATATCAGGTTTTTTTTTCTTTTTGCATTTTCTAAAGGATATGTTCAGTATAAAAATTTGATCAAAATTATTTGTTCACTTGGTATGTATTTCAAATATCCAAAATGGAAATTATTTTTTCATCTTTCTAGCGTTGAAGGCACAGGATTTTTGGTTGCTCTCCAAGGATTATCTTTCCTACCATTTCGAATCGCTGCTGGCTTCATGAGTGATCAGATCAAGTATGTGACCTGATTGTATTAAAATTTATCCTTCAATCCAATCTTTCATCTCAGATTAAGTTCATTAAGGATAAATTTATGAAGTTAATCTGCTAGAAATCAACCTTGACCTACTACTGTTACTTTTTTTTTTAGATGCATGAACGAGTATCGGAAAATGATCTTCTTCAATACGCTATCATTAGTTGGAGCTAGTGTATTTTATTGCATACTTGGTTTTATCGCACCTGAAAAGACTTCATTATCTGTATTTACTCTTGCAACAGCTCATGCTGTTATGGCGTTTAATGTTGGTGGATTCTATAAATGTGGAACATTTGTAGCTCGGTAAGCTAGTAAGACGATTCATTTTCATTTAAATTATTTTGAGGTTAGCAAAAGAGGAATTTCAACAAGCAATAGCATACTCCTTTTTTTGTTTTGACTCCAGAAATTGCATGAGTTTTGCAAATGATCGGAACGAATAAGCAATATCGAACAGAAAGCAGGAAATGTTCTACAAGCCGTAAAGAAGCCAAAAAGATATTGCTGCTCTTAGTCAGTGAAGATCAGATGATATGTACCCCTAAAGATAGTTTCAATGATATGATAGGTCCATTTCTATACATCTTGAGTGCTGGTGCTAAGAGCTATTTCCAGAAGATTAATGGTAAGCCAAATCGGGTTTTCACTTGGGATATCACTAAATGTGGCAACATACTGTACTAAATGATGGAGTAGTTATAATAATGCTCGGTTTGCAACTGGATTTCAGACAGCATAGTCATTTCGTGATCTCAAATATACAATTCATCAAGTGTGTTGCATTGTTTATATCACCATTACTGGTTGCAATATTTGTCACCGATGATTCTGCACAGGTAACTCTATGCTATCTCATGTTATTACCCGAGGATTGCCTGATATGCATTGCATTATTTCTAGTGTCATCATACAGTTATACTACATTAGGTACCATACCTTAAATTTTTACACCGAACATACTGTTCTCGAACACCATACTACTGATTTAAACGGGTGATCGTATTTCTATGTTGAACATTTCATATTCCCAGAAGATAGGAGTGAACTATTTTGAACCATTCCAGTTATTGTAGAGATGGATCGATTTATGGGACGGTTTAATGATTGATATTATAAGCTTTCCCCGCGGTTTCGAAGCATGGATATTTCTCGGCAGGCATTTTACGCCATCATCATATGATATCTACCTGTAAAACAACCAGAAAGATATCCTAACAATTACGATTACTGCGCATACTTTTTTTTTTTTCAGGAACAATGGCGAATTATTTTCATAATTTTAGCAGCATCATTATTCGTAGCGAATTTCGCGTTCTGTTTGATAGCAACCGATCAACCCGCCAAGTTTACAACATTTCAACCGGATAAAAAGAGACAAAACCTTGCAATTACTTCAATTTCATGATGATAAACAATTGATTCGAGAAGTACTCAACCCTAACTTCCTATCTAACCCAAACTGTTGTTAATTGCATCGATTTGTTTCATCTGCACAGAAATTTGATTAAAGTATCACTAGAAGTTGCAGCAGTTTCAAGTCACATGGAATATCAAAAAGTCACTTCCCCTCTTTCACCAAAACTGCCTGTCACGCTTTTCACAAATCCCACAGACCCTACAAATCCCTAAATTGCGCGTGACACTTTTTACAGATCTTAAGAAATCTAGAGAAGACAGGAAAAAGACGGACAGAAGATCCCCTTATTTCACCCATAGATCCATCTTCAGATTACGTACGCAACCTCCTTTTCTAGTGCGATATTCCGCTGTTCATGACGGCTATGGTCTTAGAATCATTTTCTATGCTCTGTAGTCTCCGTAGATCTGGACGGCAGTTCCGGAAATGCGTTCGATTACAGTAATGTATGTGTTGTTGGAGTGATGTTATGTTGTTCAGTGATATTCGATTTACCGTTTTATGATTGATCGGGAATATATTACTAGGAATGACCCGGTAGTTCTGTTGTTCCAATAACCGGATTGAAGCTAACAAACGTGATAAGGTAATTCAGGATATTTGTCTTTCGCACGTTAATCGTACGGCTCAGTAGATACAATCCGTTATAAAATGGAATGTTTCGGAATTCGTTTCCGGTCGGTTCACACGGTTCTGATGATACATCGATTTAGTGGAAGGGATAGATGTGGAAAAAATAACTGTTATTACAGACATCATATAATCAGCCATAAATCTATCTTAAAAAATACTTACAATCTTTATGGGATATTCTTCAGATCTCCCTATAACAGAAGTTGGTAATATGAGAATATGTCAGCACATGTTTTCTGGAGTTTCAAGCAAACCGGTTAACATTATCAGCTTGCATGTTCGTAACTGATAACGCTAACAGTCTTTAACGTAAATTAAGTAGTTTGGACGGCTGTCTTTGTGAATTTCTTTTATGTCATGTATGCCGAAGTATGTTAAATGATCATGCAGATGGGGTCACGTGTTACACGTAGTCATCGAGCTAGATCTAGAAATCGTCACTAAAATTATGAAGTTTTAAATTCTTAGGGGAGGGTGGAAGTATGTGTAGTGGGCAAGAAATTACACTCACGAACTAAGGGAGATATGGGATGAATAAGTGTGGTAACATTAAAAACTGATATTAGTTTAAATTCTGGAAGGTATAATTTATCTCTTCCTTTTCCATTTAGCCGTCATGTTACAGGCCCTCGTAACACTTCGGCGTACCTAGTATTGGTCTAGAGATGAGTATTTCATATTGTGTTGTATCCTTAGATCAATGTATTTCTCATGTCATTGTATTTATTTATAGGTGATGAGCGACTACAACGGCCAAATAATGGCTCAGCAGTACACGGTGGACATGAGCCATTCACCAGCTGGCATGCAGCGAATTCATTCGTCACCTCAGCAACCGGTCTGTGACATTTTCTTACACTTACCTGTGAATCTGATCTGGTCATTTTATGGAATATCGTCTGAAATGGTTTAGGTATGGTCAGAAGACCGTACGGTAGGTTATGTATTCCAAACGTTCTATTAACCGATGAAAACCAGTTAGTCTTATTCACCAATAGAAAGTCTCCCCGGGACGATTAGATAATTGGCATCATAAGGTATCCAGTTATATTGTAAGACCTTTTATTGTTAGTGTTGAGTAGATGAGACATACTCCTGATTGAGGCATACTTCCCTTGGGTAAAATGGCTAGTTCGATTATTTTCTGTATAAATGACGGAAATTTCTGAGTTAAATCTTCATTTTATGACGTTAAATAGCATTTTATTGTGGATTTTTTTTAAGCGACAAGCACATATGATTCAATCTGGACAGATGCTTCCCCAACAGCAAATGATGATGCAAGCCAGTCAGCCAGTCCATATGCCACCGTGTAAGAAATTCCTCATATTTCTTGTTCAAGTATTTCAAAATATCAAAATCATGCCTGCTACATTTTCAGTTATCTTAGAAATGGAGAGTTTTTGTGAGGCAATGCATGGGACGCGGTATAGGTTATGATACATGGATTTCGCCAAAAAATATTTTCATGGATGATTTTTTTTCCTATCCATTTATTTTTATTTCTCAAACACTATTAGATTCATTATATAAAGTGGTTGGTGTATAGAATCATAAGTCTTCTGGAGATACTAGTGCTTTGTCTTCTTTGGTCTACAGTTGTATATTTCCAGAACATATATTGTACGGAATGATTAAAATTTCCTAATAGACTCGGTGACTTCGTATATTTACGCTGTTTTTCACCCTCTCTGTATTTTGAGCTGCCAATGGAATTAATAATTTTTTAAATTATGTTTTCTATAGTCTGATCTTTTTTTATAGTTTAATCCTTTTTTATAGCTTAGTCTTTTTTATTTTACAATCTGGCATTCAACTTATTCTCATTAGAATCTTTTCTGCTGTTCCACTTTTCCAAACAGTCAGTTCTATATTAGTGAGGACTTGGCTTTGGGTTCTACTTTAGTTTCTTGTGATTACAGCCTTTCATTGGAGAAATTAATACACAACACTTTATAGGTACAAGTATGCAGGTACAAATGGCGTCGATGGGTCCACCACAAATGATCTCGCAACAGGGTGTCGCTATTATGAGCCAACAGGGGCAAATGCAACAATCAGGTGATTTATAGTTTTTCAGTCTCTATTTTTGCATTTTTTGTGTCAGTAAATTAGACCCTATACCTTTTTCTTTTTTACTTTCGGAACAAAAATTGGGGAAAAATATACTTTATATACTCATAAAGCCATCTTTATGATCTTTACGAATTGCAGGATACTTCCGGGGAGTTACCTTTATCCGTATCGTATTTAAGCAATTTCACGTTTCAGTGAATGCTAGTGTAACAGCTCATTTGAAATGATCATGCATGACCAATAAGTTGTAGTTATTATGGTTATAGTTATAGTTATTTACCAGTTGTAGTTATTTCACTAGTTGCTAATCCATGTTGTTTAAATCTTTTTCACTATTAATGTATATTTAGCTATGTGATTGTTTCATATTTTTGAAATGTCCTTTATAGGTGGTGCACAAGGTACTATGATGCAGGCACAACATCAAATGATTGCAACAGGACAAATATCTCCACAGCAGATGCCAACACAAATTCTGGTCACATCAGTGGGTCAGCAACAGATGCTTTCAACCATGGTTACCCAGGTGCAGCAGCAACAGCCAGCACCCCATCAAATGGCTCCACCAACTGCACAACATCTAGGACCACAACACCAACCACAACAATCACTACAACAGCAGCAGCAACCTCAACAACAGCAGCAAACTCAACAACATCAATTGATGACTTCGACTCAAATTTTACAACAACAAAGTCAGGGGCAGCATTCATTAAATACGCAGCAGAACATTGGCCACAGTCCAGGATTTGCTCATATAGGTCAACCTCATATGCATACCCCGAATTCAAATTATCAGCAGCCTTCTCCACATCGACCAACGATGACACGTTATCCAACCCCAAGTCCAGAAAATATGCAACATGGAACTCCCCCCATATGTATGTTTTCTTCTCAGAACATCATTGTTTTTGTTTTCAATCTTTTAATCGAATTCTTCATTTAATGAATATTTTGAATGGAAAAAGCATTTTGTGCTATGACCATCACGAAACGTTGTTGCTATTTCGATAGTAAACTTCAGATCGTTCACCAATACAGCGTTCAGTAAATGCCCCACGTGTTATTGGCCAATCGTCTGCAATACGGCAAGCTTTGGGGCATCTTCCACCTGCTCCGACACCAGTACCTGCACATTCTACAGCTGAGCCACATCCTCCGCCGCCTACTAACATGAAATTACTGGAGAAGGTTTTCTATTTTTTTCTTCTGAGAGGGAGTGGGGAAGTTAGATGGACTGTATTTTGATAACCAGAAAATATTCCCTAGTTGTATTTGTAATTTCCACATTCATATTCCATTCTGTTTCCTGTATGCTGGCACAGAATACTGGGAAAATTTTTCCTTTTTTTTCGTTTCCAAAGCTACAAAGAAAACAGGGGAGGAGTCATGAATTCAATAGGTTTTGCTTATTAACTCATCAGTAACAAGTATTTTTGACTGTTTTCGATATAGGAATTACTTCCTAATTATTAGGATGCCATGGAAGCTCTTATTAAAACAGTGGATCCTCTGGAAGCAGTGGAAGATGATGTTTCGGATGCGTTGCTGCAGCTGGTTGAAGAATTCGTTGATGATGTGATAGAACAAACGACACGTGTTGCTAAGCATAGGTTATCATTTTATCTAAATTTTGAACTGCTTACTTGATAAAGTCAGACAGTGTCTGGTCGTTGGATAAGGGAAGAGTTAAAAATTTTATTTTTACATGATCTCAATTTACTTTTCATTTCAAAATTAGTTGAAACTTTGCTTAGAATGGTAGAGTGTTATATGAAACCAAATGTTTTTTTTCGGTAGGAGTGCACAAAAGTTAGAAACGAAGGATGTACAGTATGTACTAGAAAGGCGATACAAGATATTCTTGCCGCCGGGTTCCGTTAGTGGCGTCCAACCAGCTGATCGTAATCCATATGTAAAATCTCCGGCAACCGAAGCTCATCGTCAACGTATGTCGCTCATCAAAAAAGGTATCCAGAAACCATGAAAGGTGAAAATTTGAAACAGATGAAATAATTTTGGAAGGAGGAGAGGATAATGGTTTGTGCGGGCAAGGCAGTCCTGCTGTCGTAACAGTGGTCCTAGTAGCAAGTGACTTGTCTGATTGGATGCAGAAAGCAACATTGTTATGGCTTTTCTTCTTCGGCGACCTTATCTGTTCCGTTTTTTTCATCCTAATGGTTTAATTCAGAGTTTTACTTCGAAAATTTAGATAAATGAGGCTAAATTAGCGATAGTAGTTGTGATTATTTCATGGTTGGGATTACATTATCTAATAT